GCCCTGATTTTTTGTCAGCTTTAATATTATTATGCCAGAATTTAAAAGCAAAACGGAAAAAGAACAAAAAAAACCTTTTCTTGTTTAAAGTGTGCACTGAGGAACTACATCTATGGAATTGTTGATGTTGTTATGTGATATTTGTACACACAATTTTTTTTTTCATTTTTGAATTTATATATCTTGAAAAAAAAAAATTCACTTTTACCTTTTCTTACCATAAGGAGTGCTTCTACCAGTGGGTCAGGTTCTGATCTGAGTAAGCTCAGCATAGATCTGAAGTAATTGCGTATATTTAACTCAGATTAAAATAATGGTGATCAGGAATCTAACCCAAATGACACTATCAACAAGTAATCGACATCCATCCTTGATTCAGTGAGCTACTTAAGCATTCCTTAGCATTATGGACTTCAGGTAGCCATCCAGTTTCTAGACTGCTTGGTGGACTTGTCCTTAAGCACCTGACTGAATCAAAGCCTGATTGTTCTGGTGTGGGTGATTGTGCTAGTTATTGGAGAATAACTAAAACAACATACTCAGTCTGCAATATAGACAGACTGGACATGAAAATTTATTGTAGTAGCTGATAGCATGTGAGCTGACTATATCATCTCCCTAGATCTCCGTTCCTCCCTGAGGCCCAGCTGAAGCTCCCAGTGAAACCTGGCTTCAGGAATTGACTATGGGGATATACAGCCACCACTGTGGAGCTGAGGCTGGGCTTTAAGTGTTTCATGACTTCATCATAGATTTGTGGGGTAACTAGTTAACACTGGTGCAAAGGAAAAGTGACATCACTTCTCCAGCGGAGTGGCATTACTTGGCATTCAGATTGGCATAACGAAGAAGCCACTTTTGCCCCGACCGTGTAGTTTTCACTGAGGGGCTTTGGAAAGTCAAAAAAGAAAAAAAAAAAAAAAACAAAAACCAAAACGCCAAACCTGACACAGCCTGTAGTAGCAGTCTGCATTTTTGTAAATTCTGCCATACAGAATTTATATCAAAACTGCTATTTTACAATTTAAGAACTTTGTTTAAGGAAAAAAAAAGACAGTTAAATGTGGGTGGGGGGTGGGGAGGGAAGAACAAAAAAGAGCCCTTTTACAATGGCTAGAACTGGGGCAAAGGCTTCATTATATGACTTTTCACTGTTTCTAGGATCTTCCTGCATCTCATTCTTCTAGCATGGTGATAACTGCTGTGTGTCTCCTCTAAAGAATGGAGCCTCTGTCTGTACTTTTACTGGAATGTTTACCTCACATTTCCATGTTGGTTCTTCTTGGCTTTTTTTGTATATTTTTTCCAAAACAGATGCAAAAAAAATTATCAAAAAACCAAAACGTGTAGACTGGTCTCTTTCATTTGCCTGTGACACAAAGAAAGTTTGGGATGTCTGTTTGTGCCTGGTCTTGCCATGTTTTCCTCCAGGTTGGTATTTTATTCTGACTCTACTGATATCTGCTTTAGTCTTAGGAATATAAGGATCAGACTTGGGCCGTGCAGGCTTTCTGTGACCATGAGGAACCATAGATAGCGTTCTGGGTCCCTCATTACAACTTTGATCCAAATTCTACAGGGGAAATTTCTGCAGAATTAATTTGGCTGTGGAAGCAGCCCCTGTTCTGCTGTGTTAGAATAATGAAATGTTAGGAAATCTTATCAGCAATGAATGCTCCATTCAAGTTGCCCAGTCAGCAGCACCAAAGTCCACTCATACTGCAGAGGGTTAGCAGGGGCTTGAATTCTAAGATAAAAACTTTATGTTTGGTAGCCTAGTTTTTGCAGCTGTGGACCCAGGGGTTGTGTTCATCCCAAGTGTGCTGTTACCACAGCATAAATCTTGTGTTCTTGGTCAATAGCTTCCTCAGAATTGGCAGTGATGTTGTCCCCCTCTGCTTATCCTCTAGCATGATGGTGCAGGCAGTTTTTCTACAAGTGGAAGATGAGATTTTGAGTTTCTTCCCCATCCTCCAGGTTGAAGAAGATTTGAATCTCGATTTTCCACTTCCTGAAAGACTGCTTTATCCTTCCAGTTATAGTGCAGCACAGTCAGGAGCACCTCTCTCCTCTTTGAAATAAGCAAGGGAGCCCTGGGCTCTCCTCTGACATGGTACGCAGGGATGCCTACACCCAGAAGAGGTCATCCACAGGGGTGTGCATGCTTGTTTGCAAGTGCCTAAGTTCTGGGTGACTGGCTAGATGAAGGTAGACCTATCACACACGTTCACTGCATTTCCTCTTAGCTAGCTCTATGTGTTTGCTACTATTTTAGGTTTATAGCACCCTCAGCCTTGACAGGCAACCCTCTGCACAGGAAGCCTCAACCTAACATCACATTGGCTTTTCCCAGATACCTTCCGCTTCAGGAGGAGTGTGTGTGTA